TATAAAAAAATAAAATACTGAGATTCTCTTTTGACATTAAGGATTCATTATTGATGTTATAAGAATATAAAATAAAATAATTAATTATTAAATTATTGTAAAGCTCAAATATCGAAAAAAAAAATTTAATAATTACTATTTTATAATTTGAGATATTTTTAGACTCATAATAACAGTCACTTTTGAGCTAGATTCTTTTCTGAGTTCTGACACAAGGACCCAGGAGTCCCCTTTTCTTTTCTTTTTTTTCTTACATTTTTTTTTTTAACCTCCAAAAAATGACCAAGGAGTTTGGTTTGTGTTTTCATGCGGCGGATTTCAATTTTTTATACTAATTTTTTTTATATTTAGCAACTACATTATATATTAATTAATTTTAAATTAAATTAGATTAAATTTTATTTTTAAAAAAATTTTCAATACTTACTTTTTAATTTATAAATTTTTTTTTAAAATTTTATTTTAAAAATATTAAATTTATCCTATTCAGACTAACAAATGCTTTCAATTTCAAACTTGATGGAAATAGCATTCGGGTGTGGTCTTCTGCTGTCACCATCTGCATTTTATTTTATTGGTAAAAAATAAAAAACCATCTGCATTTTATTTACTCCTCTCTTTCTTGGTGTTCGGGGAATGGTCGCTCAGCGAATTTATTGTCACTCTGTTACCTTCTTAGAAATTGGCAGTTGCAACTTGCAACTGACAATTTTATTTTTTTATTTTTTAAAAACAAATTAACGTATTTAATAGTAAAAAATAAAATTAAAATACTTAATATTAAATATGTTAAATAATAATTATATGATAAATTTAAAAAATTAAAATTTATATTATATTTTATATATTTATTATATTTATATTTTCAAAACACATAATAAAAATATAAAATTATTTATTTTTAATAATATAATAATATTTTAACTGGCCTTAAAAAGAGATAACGGTTCTGGTAAAGCAGTAATTGCGCATTAGAGATAAGAAGCAATATACACTCATTTTTCATAAATAAATATATACCACCACAGTACGCACGAGAACCCCACCACCACTCGCCTCTCACTCACTGCCCATTACTAGGCCCCACCGTTTTCGGGACCACCGCAACCTTTCCTCCCCAATTGCCACGATTGTATTGATTTCAAAAATCTCATGAGATATCTGACCCGCTGCCTAAAAGCCTGACTTTGCCTGCCACGTGAGGACGTGTCAAAAGGCCATTCGCTACTCCGGTCCACTAGTGGGGCGTCTAAAAAACTCCTTCCCTACCTCTTTTTCTCCTAGGAAAAACTGCCCTAGCAGCTCGAAGAAGCCTAGGCCCTAGAGATTAGAGAGTGTCGAAACTAATTTTTTCTAGCCCTCGAGTTGAAATAATTTAATCGCATATTCAAATTTTGCATTAAAAATTTACCCCACCCAAAATATTGGTATATAAATAGCCCACTCCCGCACATTAAACAATTAAAAAGCAACGAGCCTGTATGCATTAAGTATAAACCGACAAGGAAATTCCTTATCTGCAGGAGCTCATTGCAGTTGCAGGACAAACGGTCTCAGATAAGGTAAAAAAATAAAAAAACCATGCATGTATGGTAAGTTGGTAACCGAGGCTGTTTCAGTGTTAGCTGCCGCATCAGTCAAACCGACAGCTAATATAATAATAGTATAATTTAGAACATGAGACAAGGCATGGTTTGGTCTTGGTGCCTACTGCCTCGTTGCTCATCCCCAAAGAAACGATTTATCCAAAGGAAAATACACATCCAAACAAAAAGGTACGATAAAAAGAAGAAGCCGATGGAAGCCTGAATACATAAATACTGTCATAGAGGCAAGTAAGAAAGGTCAATTATCATTGGACAGTACCAGCCATGGGGTTAAAAACTAAGATATCCAAGTTCTCTTCTTTTTTTTTTTTTCTTTTTCTTTTGCCAAAAAAAAATACTACTAGTAGACGAGCTGATACGAGAGTCCCACCATGCCCAGCATACGGGTACAAAAGAAAAAATCAGATCTAGCGGTGATTAAGCTTCCACGTCAACACACTTCTTGGCTGGGGAGCAGATGAGCCAAACAAAGCCGTACGGATCCTTGACCTTACCCACGCGACCACCGCAGCACGCGCCTTCCCCTTCAGTGATCTCACCCTCTTGAACGGCTCCGGCACCCACAGCCTTAGCGACGGCAGCTTCCACGTCCTCAGTCTCGAGGCAGATTACACATCCGGACCCATGGCTCTTCACCCTGGTTAATTGAAGACCATCATACACAAAATCAACGCCTCAAAGATACAAACAACTGGTATTACGCATTATTTAATGGCAAACACAGGACAAAAAGGAGATGGCAACCAAGACGACCTCTACGAAGATAAAAAGACAAACCAAGTTATGAAGACCTGTCGATTTTAGAGAGTGAAAACGGCAAAATCAAGCCAAACAGCAGGTTGTTCTAACCTTATGAGTAACCAAAAAAACCCGGAGAATCAACAGGAAAAACGAGGACCAGAGCCATTAATCAAGTTATTCCATCAAATAAACTGTCCAGTAAATCTCACCTGAGGAAAAATACAACCAATGGCAATATGCGGAGGCAGATACATTTTTAGGCAGAGAAACAACAAAAATACTTAGATCTCCAACAATCAGCCAGATCTAAAAGCAGGAACCAAAAGGCTTGCTAAGCACAGAATCCGTAAGCAAAGCCAAGCAGAAAGGATGGAAAAAGAGACAATAGCTAGGATCAGAACCAAAAACGGCTAGATAAAAGCGTTTTACCACATGGACTGCATCATACAAACTCGAAACTCATCAATAACTTGGTATACAACAGCCATCACAAGGAATATGATCTCACAACGAAATTTATGAGGAAAAATCAGAGTAAATCAGTAAAGAAGCAAGTCCGAGTGATTAAGTTGAAGGCTAAGAGACGACTTCGGAACAAAGAAAACCACAAGGACAGAAACAACATACAAACTGCTACAAACGAAAAGCACACACACAAAAGAAAATATCAAAAGCAACATTACAAAGGAGAGAAGAACATACGTAGCAGAATCGACGCAGATGTCAGAGACGAGAATAGTGGAGCCAGCGAGCTCGAGCTGAGCGGATATGTGAGGGAGCTCCTCCTCAGCCTTACGCTTGTTGTTGACAGTACGGCAGGCCTCGACGGCGCCAAAGGCAGTCTTGTAGAACTGAACCGCGTCAGCTGCCTTCGGTGCTTCAACCATCAGCTGCGGCTTAACTGCCGTGAACTTCACCGCCTTGTCAGCTCCTCCGTTCTGCACTTCCTGCGCCATTAATGGAACGAGAAAAGTCTTGAGAGAGAGTGAAGCTCAAACCCTAGGAGAGAGAAAATGGCTAAGGAAGTGGACAGAAATGAGAGTGGGGGTGTGAAGTGGGGATGGGCATTTATAGGCGGGGAAGCGGAACCGTCTAGGGATAAAATGGGACCACAACATTTTCACGGTTTTCAATTTTGCCCTTATTATTTCGGCTTTATTTCCCAACTGTACGGAACCTCTGTTATCCGGTGGACCGTTCATGCTTCCCGTCACAGAGGTCAAATACCAAAATACCCTTGGCGTGTCCCACACTCCAACTAATGACTAATTTTCTGCAGTGCCACTGATACGATAAGGTGCAGTTGGTCCGTCACTCACAATCACAACCGTTAAATTTATTATAAAAAAATAATTAAATTGCTGAAATTATAAAGTTTAAAAGTTCATTCATTTCAATAAAATTTTATAAATTTAATTTAAATTTTAAAATAAATTTAACTATTTAACATAAGATTTTATTAATTAATAATAAAAAAATAATAAATTATACATCTAACTTATATTATAAGGCACATGGTAAAAAATTCTAATAGCTTAACCGAGGACCAAAGACAATTTTTTAGGCAATGAATGTTGTTTGGGAAGGAGAATTTTTGCACATAAATTTTTGTTATAATTTCACATTTATTTACGAGACGGTAAAAATTAAATATTAAATTTTTAATAAAATTATTTAAATATTTTTAATAAATTAATATATAAAAAAGACTTATTAAAAATATTTAAATAATTTCATTAAAAAATTGAATTTTTTTAATTTCTCTTAATTTACAATAATTTTATGCAATTTAATAATAATTCAAGATATGCTTTTGATTAACTGTTCAAGTCTAATTTCATCTTAGCCAATTTTTAAATCGCACCATCCACAACATCGGTTTAATCGCATTTAATAAAATTAAATTTCCTTTTGTACTAACTCAAGATTTGGATTTTCAATTTTGTTTTATATTTAAATAAAAGTAATTTGTTTTATAGTTCATTCCACTATAAAATAAGAGTTTTTAAATGGAGAAGGTTTCTTAATATAATGGGATTTATTTTTTACCTAAAAATTTATTTTTTAATGTGACATAATTTGAATTATAAAATATTTTTTAAAAAATAATATTTGTTAATAAATGAATTCAACTTTTAAATTTTAGGTCAAATCAAATTTAGAGAATTCCTCTATAGAATCAAATATGAATCGTGAATTGATCAATCTATTGTTAAGGTGGTTAATATAGGTGGTTTAACCATTTACAATTCATA